AAAGTACATGACCACGATTTTCGTGTAAATTGAGAAGGTACAGACTTTTTACATGAGATTTGATTAGCTCTAGCTCAGCGCGCGCGCGATCGAGCGCATTGTGAAATGAAAATGGGAAAATTCATAAAGCACACCAAATCGAACAAGCAAACGATCAAACAAAAAAAAACATCGAATCGATAGAGTTTTGCTGGCGAATGAAAACGGAATAATTTTATCGAGAATTGCCATGAAATGAAAGAAATCTCATTGAGCTGCACTGTGTGTGTGTGTCTTTTCGCTCGTCGAAACGAGGATTTGAGTGAATTTCATTAAATTAACCGGTAAATGCAATGCAATACGGTTACGTTAGAAATGCATAAGGTGTACCACATTGAATTGGAAATGTGCCACACGCTGCTGCTGCTGCTGCATTCTCTCACTCATTCACTCTCGCCCTCTCATCAGGAATGAAAAAGGCATCGAGCAACAACCAGGAACAACGGAATCCATGCATTTAGATGACGATGACGACGAAGGCGACGTTGCGCAGCATGTATGTTTATGTTTAGCCCATGGCATCTGACTTGTGTACGAACATATGAATCGTTTGTTTACTCCATTTTGCAATGTGAATTATGCCTTTATCCCAGCCAATTTGAACCCACAATGCATTTGTTCTACTGCATCTATTTATAGTCGAGCATTCTCTCTTTTCCCTTCATCTCTCTCACTCTTCCTTTGTATTCCTTCTTCTCTTACTCTTTCTCCTTTGCTTTTTCTCTCTCTTTCCCTCTGCCTGCGCCAGAATTTATCGGCTGCAAACGACCTAACAATGACTAGGTGCGCATTTCATCCGAAAGAGATGGAGCGTTTAGCCGAAGAAATGCAATCAATACCGTTTTTCAGATCGCAAAATATTTCATTATTGTAACTGATGTTCCTTGGGTGCTTCTGCACACAGCAATAATTTATCGGCTAACTTCTCTCAGCTCGGTATGCTCTCGCTTCCACCGAGATTTGCTTTGCAGCCGTGTGCAACTTTGCAAATGCTGTTAATAAATAAAATGTAAAACAATTTTATGTGTCACGTTTTCTGTCGTTCGCTTCGTTATTCCATTGTTGATTATGATGCATTTGCTATGGTTTTGGATTCAGTGTTACAATTTTTTTTTTCCTCGTTTCTTTTCTTTTTTTGCTGTTTGAAAAATCAAATCAGTTTAATGTTTTGATTTAGCTGAGATGTTCGACTGCACCAATTTTCCGGCAAACCTATTTTTTGCGGTGGCGAATGACGTGCAATATTATGATTTTCCCACTGTATCTGCTGTCTGCCATTTATGATCGTCTTCTTCGTGCTCTGCTCTCTATGGATTTTCATCTCGATTACGCATATTGCTCTTTTTTTTCGTCGATTCTCCAGCATTTTTGACAAAAATTTATAAGCGGCAATAAAATTTTATGCTTTTAAATTTTATTGATCGGTATTCGGTTGAACAACAACATAAAATAATTTTTAAGTGCTGATTCGCAGTCCATGATAACGTTAATAAATTGTTAAAAGATCATTCGCACTTCAACGCGCTTCGGTTCTTTTTTGGTGCATGCGAAGCGCATATAAATATTCAATACGCAATAAAACTATCTTTATTTACTAAAAAAAAGAGGTAAAATAATTATCATCGCGCGAGTAGAACGAAAAAAAAAATTGGCTGGAAAAGTGATTAAAGAAGATTTTATGAGCACATTTTCAATGTACCCAGCCGCATTAATTGTATGTGTATCAACACAAAAGTGTTGCGAGTAAGTTGAACAGCAAAAAAAAGATAACAAATTTATATACTTCTTGAGAAATTCCAATGAAATGTGTTCGATATGGCAATAGCATTTAATTTTTTAACGATAGTAATTTGCGATATTTTCGATTCCATTACACATACACGCGACTCTCAAGTGAAACGATATGTGTGCGGTAGGTATGTGTATATGCGATGGAAACGGAACGCTGATGCAAACAAATTGATAATTCCTTTTGCATTTCGATTCGATTAACGAACGGTTTATCAAACGAATGATGGCTTCGATTTGTTTTGTGCTCCGTTGTTTTTTTTTTGTCCCTCTTGTCTCGATTCCATTTCACACTTAAGGAAACAAAAGAAGCACTTGGAGTTGACAAATTCATATGGCAAATTAAAACACTGACATTCAATTTAATGATATCACTTGAAAGATTGTCATTCAAAATATTTTCGAATTGTGCGTGTGTATGCGTGTGAAAACACCGGGAATTTTTCATTAATTTATTCGCCGTTTTTCTCTCTCCCGTCCAGCAATCGACATCACAACCGTCTTTCTTGTTCAAGAGAGAAAGAGAGAGAGATAGAGAGAGAGAGAGAGAGAGAGAGAGAGAGAGAGAGAGAGAGAGAAAGGACACAGGGAGAAGAGCCATCGAGTCGAAAAAAGACAAGGCGAGGGAAAGAACCACAAAGCACGAAGCAATCGTAAGAGCAAAAAGATGCAAAGAGAGAAGCAATTTGGAATTCTTCTTCGCAACGATTTAATATTTCAACGGAATGAACTTGAATAAATTACAATAACTGAAATAACGATCTCGAAATATTGAAAAATCGATGTGCTGAAGTGTGTGTGTGTGTGTGTTTTTTTTTTTTATGGTGAATTCGATGAAATGATGTCGTAATATAGTACTTAGGCTCGCTTCTTTCAGGTGATAAATTTAATCCGATAAATATCGTTTATATTCTTCTTTCGAGTGTTTGTGTGGAGGGAAAAAAAAAGTCGAAAAGCCGAAAATATTGACTGAAAAATGGTTCTCATGCCATTCGGACGGGCGCGCACTCACAGCCACAAATGTATTCCCGTTATTGAACCAGTCGAATGAGTTATTTTAATTTTCAGGCAGAAAGCAACCGTTGCATAAACATTGCACACACCAAACGTTTATTTTTTTATTTTTCGTCCGTTTCACATATGTATATATGCCACAGCCACAGAGAGTGGCTATAAGTGGCGAAAGCGACCCAAAGCGCATACGAGGAGATGGAGAGAGAGAGAAAAACATATCCAATAATAAAATTAATTACTGCAATTTATGATTAAATGATTGAAATCGATCAACATGCTTTGACCCAGTCGATGGCTTTCAACGAGCACATTAAAACAATTTGTTCGTTAGTAATATGTTTATTTACAACCGAGATCGAATGGTGCGAGCGCATGTCGATATGTGGCTGATATTTCTCTGTTTTTTTTTTCGTTGTTTCTTCAGCATATTCATCAGGTGGAGAGGTGGAGGGACAGAGAGAGGAAGAAAAATCTGGCTGCCAAGAAATATTGTACGAAATGTTTAAGCGAATGAAACAATCATCTTATTAAAATAAGTAACTTGCTTTCAGTAATTTAGTGGCGATTTTTTTCTCTCTCTTCGCTCTTTGTTGTTGTTGAAATTGAGTAATTTAAATTGTTGTTGCGGAGAAAAATCAATAAATCTGGCTGGTGTGCCGTTGAAATTTGTCCGATTAAAGACAAAGACAATCGTTTTATTAACACCGTCACTCACACCAATCGACGAACATCCAGCGCTGAATCAATAATTTTAAGTGAGCATTTTATTCGAATACCAACCGAATGCATTTAAGAAGAAAAGAAAAAGCCTGACATGCGTTGATGTGAATTTAAGCAGCAAAGAATTTCATCACTTGAATTGTGTACATTTCTCCCGTTTCGCGCATTTCCTCTATGTTTATTCTTTTTTTTATTCCGTTTACGGATCTCATCATCATCGGTTGGTTCGAATTTTCGGTTCATTGTTTTCTCGGTGTGTGCCTGTGCATTGTGTCTGGTGGAATCACGATCGAAATGGTGTAAATCACGAACTTATACACACCGTGAGCGCGACCGCGACCGCGCGCTCACACACATACCTCTTCCTAATGCAAAGAAGAAAAAAAGCCCGCGCGCGAATTTTGAACTTGAGCAAGACCGATGAGAGAAAGAGTCGAAGAAAGAAATTGCATAAATTGCGCCTTTCAAGTGTATTTGAGTTTGTGTTTGTGAGAGATTTGGTGGAGACGAAGCGAAGGCGCACAGAGTGAAAAACAAACGCAACAAGAAGAAAAATGAAAATCGCTTTGAGGCGAATGTGTGCAATTTATGAGTGTAACGTGCATGCATTTTTTTTCTACGCCAATGTGTCCAAAATACACTACTTACACTTCAACACTTTGAGTTCGGTCGCGTTGTTTTTTCCACTTCTTCTTCAGTTCATTGCATTCGAGATGTGTGCGAGTGTTGGTTGACTCGGCGTGTAATAGACATTGGCAAACATTTTGTGTAAAAATTGCAATAAACGATGCCAAAAACGTGGCTCACCATTGTTGGGCCGACGACGTTGATGAATCTCAGCACATTATCACAGTCGAGATAAGATTTTACGATAAATTAATGAAGCATCCATTACAACACCAAACAAATATCGCGCACACGTGAAAAATCGCTGCGATGTTTGAGAAAAATACTCATTTGATAACAATCGCACACAAATATTTTCGTTCCAATCGACGTTTTTTTTTCTCTCGTCGCTGTTTTCAATCGCGATTTTTTTTGTTTTTCATTTTTCCATTGCGATTTTTTGTGTTTTCCATCGCGATTTCTTTCACTTTGGCCAGTGTGTGTCGTGCATGCGACGCGCTACTGCTGCAAGCGATAAAAGTTCAATACATTTTTTGTTTGTGTGTGAAATTTTTTCTCTCTCTCTCATTTTGATGGAAATTGAATTAGTACACGACTTTTTTGCACATCGATCTTATCTCAGCATCGAATGTGCTATGGAATCTCAATCAGTCCATTCTAAGCAACATTGCACATGCATCATCCAATCCATATATAGTCTATTGGCAAGAGACAAAATCTCTACGTATTTTTCGTACTACACTTTCTGATTGTGCCCTACATTGACCCGATATTGAAGCAGTACAAGAAAATATGTGTAATTTAACGGTATTTCAGCCTAAACACACATTTTTTTTTCTTTTTCCTGAGGTGTTTTCTATGATGAAGGAAAAAAATGACGGAAAAAAACTCTCAAGTAAAGACAAAAAGTGTAATGAAAGCGTATCAAAGCCCAGTAGATTCAATAGAAATACTTCACAAAACACAAATTTTCCAAAATGTTCGAAGCTCAAAGTATTATGGGAAATATCGAAATGTTCAAACTTGAATCGTTGTTGCTGTTCCGTCGGGAGAATCCGTCTGGACTTACCGCAACACCAATCTATTTATCGATTGGAATGTCGCATGCAAATTTCACCTTTCCGCTACAGGGGCTGTCGCGCCGCACACTTATATGGAGCTAACTGTCGCAACACACGGCCGAATCGATTTATGAATAGAGAAACTGACACGTTCCGATGTGACGTCATTCATTCAAATTTAACCTTGACGCGAACAAAACAGCGCGAACAATGAAAACACACACACACACATCCTACACACGCTGCCATATCCTTTTTACCCTGACTCACAAAACACATGTTATGCATGAGATCCGTTGTTTTGTTTGCTCTTGACTCATGTTTTGAGCACATGCATGAGCTCGCTTAAACGATTCAATTGTGCCTAACAATGAGCTTTCAATGGATTATGTCGTAATTAAATCATATGTATCATTTCGCATTCTATATTTACATGTGGTGCCTATTTTTACCGGAATTGGCATGCGTTGGCTCATTGATGAACATGATAAACAGAATTGGCGATTGAACTTATTATTATTCGCAGAAAATTTGCTGTAAAATAAAAAAAAAAACGCTGTAAACATTCCGAAACACCCGGAATGGAAAAGTGAAAAACAGTTTTAATTTAACAAATTGAAGAGGCAGTTCTGTTGAATGTGACGCAAAAATAAAACCATTTCGAATAAAAATTATCAATGATGATTGAAAAATAAACAGTTTGGCTCATGAGGTTTTCCACGCACGCTTTAAATATTCTTGAAGTGTGTATGCTAAATAGGGAGGGAGTCTTTATAGCATTTTCTATTAGAAAATTAACATTTCCGTTGCGAATAATTTTAACTTAAGTTGAGTCATAAGCATAAATACTTGTAAATATAAATGAATGTCGCGCTCAACATTGATCGATCGGGCGTACAGCCACTTAAAACCTACAGTGTAATTGCATACCTATTTCCCTACGCATAACGGGAAAAGTTTTATGTAGTGCCTTCCAATTTTAGTGCGATTATTTTCACGTTCATACGACATGATTTTGACGTAAAATATTAATATTTAACAAGTTCTGGAATTAGGATACAAACAAGCTAACCAGAAACAATTTATTCATTGTCCATTTGAGCACAAACGATTTACCAACAAAATTGTTGAGTTACTACATATACAAAAAAAGGGATAGGTCAGCTTTACTCACATCAATTCAGAATTATGTAAGGCAAGTTATTGAAACTACTATTTCCAACTGTTATAACTTCCATGAGCCATACGACTCGTTTATTTGTGAATATACAAAAAACTGAGATAACCTTTTAACAACAAAAATCAATATCCACCCAGGAGTTTGAAAACTTTCAATTATTCGACGATTACTTGCATTAAATATGTATGTGTTACAGCCCTTAACTTCCTTATTTTTAAATAGTGGTGTCGTTAATGCGGTTATTTATTCAAAAGCTGTCGCAAAATTGTCATCATTGACGCAACTTTGTTGAGTGCCTAGATGGTGTTTGACGGTATAATGTTCTAAGTTTAACTCATTATTTTTCACTTGTTCCATCAAATAGATCAACTTAGTTCGTGGAATTCACTATTTTTCAGAGGGTCTTATTTAAATTGATTGGAGATTACCGGAGAAAATTTACCTTGGCATAATTTTCGAGTGTACAAGAGAACAGTTTAAATCCATCAATGATGACAGGACATTGAGCTCGTTGGATAATCAACGGCGTTAGCTTCTGTAACGTCAATGGATAGTGATACCATTCGGCATTGTAAACGGTCATTGATACTTCACTGGCCTAAGTTTGCAAAGAAGATATTGGGGGATCGAAGAGTGAATGAAAGTTAATTTTCAGCAGGCCTACCTTAGCCGAGAGTTCGTTTCCAAAATAACAGTAAATGAATAAAATGGCTAAAATCGTTGGGTAAACGGGTAAAACTTGTACAAATCGATCCAGTGTAATGTGTTCGTGCTGTGGACGAAAAGTTGATGGAAATTTTAGCTTATTGTTAAAATTGATGGAAAAATGCAATGTATGGCATACCAATATGAGTTCCAGCGTAATAGCACAAATTTGTAAGCAGCTCATGAGAAATTGAAAGAATATGATTGGACTGTAGAGGTTCTGAAGTTCGTCTGTCAACCGTAATAAATTACGATGGAAATTGACGCAATTCACAAACTTTTCTTTTTGATTTCTCGCTTTAGTCGAAACGCTGTTTGAGCTACGGGGAAGGAAGTTTTATGAAATTAATTTTAAACAATTGTGTCGTTTGATTTGATTTCCTCACTCAATCCGTTCAATTTTGCGGAAATCATCGGCCAAGTTTTCAAATGCAGCTACTAAATATAAATTGATTCCAAAGAAACCGGCATCAGCAACAAATAGAAATGCGGCATTCAATTGAATATTCAGCGCAGAATACAGAAATAACACGATATACTCGAACATAGACTCTTCGCGTAACAAATACCTAAATCGTGGGAACACGAATTTGATTCAATTGAATTTGTGTTGTTGGGTGGATAGATGACGGCACTTACACCACTTCACATGGATAGCGAAAATGATAGTCACTCTTAAAAACGCCATACAATACCGAAAGCAACGGACCAAACGATATTGTTTGAGCCGACATTAGCATGAACATTCCGTACAGTCGCGAATAATTCCGTTCGATTTTGTTGTATTTTTGATACTGTGTCGGCGATGACTCCTTTTCAACTGAAACGTTAGTTTACTCTTGATTCACATTTTCCTTTTTTTATTCAGTCTCAATTTTCTCTTATTCTGGTGTTTAATTTTTTTATTTTGATTCGTTTCGTTTTGTTTTGCATCTTTCTCATCTTTTTTCAATATTTTTTGTTTTTTTTTATCTTTGTGGTTCAAATGATTTTTGCCTCAAATCGTATGTATGGATGATAATGGATTATGATGGATGATAATTCAATGAAATGAAAGCAGTAATTATTTAAAACAAACCCAAAATATCCTGAATCCCAGTCAGAATTGTTTCAAACGTTTTGTGAGAAAAAACCAACGTTGATGACTTTGCAACAGCTGAAAAGGCGCCCATAGACATTGCAAATGTTTGTAGGAATAGCGAAGCGTTCGTCGAGTTTATAATGAAAGCGAGAATCTGAAATAGAAAATATTAAATTATAATTTAAACAATGAATCTGTTAATATTTGAATTTTGAAATGTCAAAAATTGAATTACATAAGCATACAGATTGGTGGTCATAACAATCAAAATGAAGAAACCGTAAAGTCTGTGTGATTTATGACGAGCCAAAAATGGTGAAGCTCCAACAAATTTCAACACGGTCTGAACTAGAGCGATTACTTTCATTGTTGCCATTTTACTACTCAACTCTTTAGCTATTAAAAATTGATTTCGTCCAGAAAATGTTCACTCTCTGAAGACTACGCCTCAACTGACCGTTTCCACGCTTCACCTGATTTTTTTTCCACACAAGTCATGAAGTGTTACTGGAAAATCAAAGTGTTCTCAAACTACTTTTTTTGTTCTTATTGTTTTGTCATGTTTCCCTGTAAAAAAAACTTATCTCTTCAAACGAGTCGAAGCCAATCAAAGTCCAACTCTTTAAAGAAAATGTAAAAAATTTACTTCGATTGTTAATAATAACTTATAATCGGTTAGCAGTTCAAAGCTCACAAACCTCACAGTTTTGCAGTTTAAAATTTGAAGAAGAAAAACTTTTCAACAATTTTTCCTTAGCATGCACAAGAATAGATAATCGTTTTGTTTTTCATGCTTCGCTTTCTACTCAAACATGGAAATCTATTTTTCGAGTATTTTTGCTCGTTTTCCAATAATAATTGCTTCGGACGTAACGTTGTTATGATTGTATGATTGTCACAAAACCAGATTAAAAATGCTTGAAAATATTCAAGTGTTTATTCAGCAAACTAGCACTTTGAATGAAATAAACACAATAGACATTTGAATTCGCTGGTTTTCAAAGAGTTATTGTTGAATTTTGGTAGATTAGTGTTGCTCAGCCGATTAGTGCGCGGTTTTATATACCCAACGATTCAAGTGGCCTCAGTAATTTCATTGCAAGTGAAAATATATCATATCTTCGTCTGAAAAATGTCCAGAGAAAATTGACCGTTTGGAACAACCATAAATTTTCAATCGGAACAGATATCCACACCCCATTGGGTCTCCTATTTAGTGTGCACTTGAATATGAATCTTATTGAACAATGATCGAGTCTCGCTTTCTAACCGGTATTTAATTGAATAACCGGCATTTATTTAGAGTTTGTATGTGAATTAACCGTCTACTAAAGGGTTGATTCACAAGTGGTGAACTAACTCTTTCCAAATTTAGATCCTACAAACGTTCAAAATTGATGGTTCAGTGGTGGGAAAGCCTCACGATTATCCAAAGACTCAACCAACCACTCAATAATTTGCACAGTATAGTTTTTATCCAAAAACGTAACATCTTACCTCTCTGCGGAGTCTCCGCCTGGATAGAAAGTAGAACATTTTATTCAAATTATCGATTTGGACCATTTAAACGAATAAAAATGTTGGTTCAAAATGGTAATTTCATAGTTCGTCAATAATAAAAAGTCTTTAATAATAGTGCATTCGAAACGTATGATTTAGCTCTAATTCAATAACAATATATCAAATGAACAATATTCATACGAAACCAAATCGTTTACAACCAATCAAAATGAATCGGCTTCGGTTCAGCCAGTTCACCTATGTGACGGTGAACAATGTTTGTGCAAGGTCATTTTCGTTGTTTTTTCTATCTACGAATTGTTTGTTCTGTGTTTTTTTCTTCTCTAATCAAACGAACCGATGATGCCCATTTCTTGTAAGTAATTCAGTATCTTTGCAAGGCATATACCTTACCTGCACATGCATATCGCGAGTGTGTCACCGCGTTTTTATGCAGATGTCTCGATTTCTAAACGTTCCTTTATTATTTTATTTATGAATCTATTGTTTCATCGTACACAATATATCAGTTCTAAGTAGTTCGATTTAAGAGAAAAAAAAATGGGAAGAAACTTTGCCAGTATGAGCTAATAAAATCGTCGGCGGAATTCTACGAACTGCTGAATGTGCAACAATATATGAACAAAATGAAGGGAAAAAAGAATGAAAATTGTTATTAGACAAATGCTGCACGTGCGAAGAAAATTCCAACCAATAGGAACATCGAAGAAGCAAGAAGCAAAACAGAACGAAAGAAAACAACGGTGAATTGAAATTGAAATCACGCACAAAATCAGGAAGACAATATATTTCAAACAACTTAATTTACAATCTTGATTCCATAAAACGCACGACAACTAACAAGCAAACAATGCATCGATTGAAATTGTTTTTCCACAGAAATGGTATGTGTTTTCTCTTTCTCTCTCTCTCTTCAAACGGTCGGTACAATCATTAATGTTTTTTTTTGCTTTGCAGAAATCCACGAGGGAATTCATTTGATCACATACCAAAAGTGTCACACATATTAGCAATGGCAATGTACAGCATCGACTGCAGCACGGAAACTATGTCAACGAGATTATAATAACAACATACCGACAAACACAGGACTGAAACCGAATAAATTGCCGATCATTTTACGCGAAAAATGCGTTATTGCCGTCTATCAGATGACACAAACGGAATCAACAAACAATTTGCTTGCTACCTCCACGTATATAACAACAACACTCAATTATTCGCTTCGTTTTTGCTGCACTACGCACGCTTTAATGTCATAATATAAATGAGACGAACGAGAAGAGAAAAAAATAGTCAAACAGGTGACAATAAATGATTGTGTTCACATCTGTTTGATTTACACGTCAAGTTCATGGTTTTATTCGTCATCGATTCATTTGTTCACTATTGCTCCAGTTGAATCAGCCCGCTTTTGGATTTGTTTTGAACGTCAACAAGTAAACTTATCAAATTAAATCAGATTTATGACATTTTATTGCGAATGATTCAGAGAAATACGAGTCTCTTCTGCAAAGAAAAAGTCATTAATTAGAACACTTTTATATGGAATACATTATTCTAAATGGACAAGTTTTGCAAATATGGGTCAGAATGAGTTATCGATCGAAAAATTAAGCAAATTGATAAAAACACATAATTGACATTTGGTGACATTTTCTATACATATTTGATTACGTACAAATCATAGCCATTTTGATAACAAAAACGCACTCGTTTATTAATTATTCGTCAATTTTAAAGGGCAAGAGAGCAGAAAATGGGACTAATTTGAAACACTTGCGCGATAATACGTAAGCACAATGTTCCATCAATTAGTTCAAATTCGGTTTTAGAACTTTTTTAGAACTTTTGCCATACAATGGATCATTACATACAAAAAAAGAAGAGTTATAAGAAAATGCATGAGAAGACAATTTGAATTGAAAAATAATCAAGCAAATCGTTTTTTAAACCGACTTTGCATTCATTGATGCTTTAAACCACGCAGAAACGGCGAAAGCGATCAGAATCAATTTCACAATCATTTGGAATTAACACACGATATGTGAGTGAAAGAAAAATTGTTACAGCTCGGCAGCTATGATCACTTTTTAAAATATCACCCATTTTTTATATGAACGACCTATAGATCTTCTAAATTTTATGCTTATCGTTTTATAGCTCCATCGGTTAATTAATGGAATGGTCGAAAAAGCAACCATAAAACATGTTATGTTGCGAATGAGAGCTAGCACAAGAAGTCAACTTATTTGAAATGCGAATGAAATGAATTTCTAAGAATAATCAAAGTGTGTTCTGCATTGACGTCAAACATCACAGAACAAGTGCTTCATTTATTAGCACTACATGAAATGTAGAGCTACTAATCTGCTTTTTTTTCGTCTTAATACTTTTTGATTACTGAAACAAATTATAGTGAATTTGAATTTTATGCTCATATTTTTTATTCAATTTAAACCAGAGGCAGTGTTCTCCGAAAAAGAAATTAAACCAAGATCTTGTAATTCATTATTGAGATAACTGAGAAAATCTTTTTTCTGTACCTTCTTTGTTGTAAATATATATCCTTCGTGCTATGCTTTTAATCCATAGTGTTATTAAAAGGGACGACTTTTAATGATATATTACTGAAAAGTTACTTGGATGAAATACATTTCATGTAGTGCGCAAAAAAAATTGTTTGTTGTAAAACAACCATACGGTTAGTGCCAAAGCATTTATTGTCCTACCTAACGCGAGCGCCATCTATTCGGTTTGAACATGAAAACAAACAGATTGATCCATACAGAGTTATAATACAACAACATCTCTATGTAGGGGAAACGCTGTAGTTCATTTTGTTTGGCACATTTTTTATACACTGCCTTTATTTCCACCGATTCAAATATCGGTTGGCAGCTGGAGTCACTTTGTTTGTTTTCATGTTCTCACTGAATAGATGGCGTTCGCTTTAAGGAGGGCAATAAATGCTTTTGCACTAAAGGTATGAAAACAACAAACTAGAATAAGTAACTAAAATCTTAAGAACGCAGAGTGGAGCGAAGCGACTTGTTTTTCTATCGTCAGCTTTCGATGACGCATAAATGCTGGGCCATCTCAAAAATCGAAAAAAACTTCAAAAAAAAAAGA